GAGGATCATTTGCAGATTGATGGCAATCTATATGGATGAGATTGTGTCAGGCAGTTCTCCAAATGTGCTCCTTCCTACCAGCAGCATCGGTATCCTCTGGAAACCTGTTAGAAATGCAGATTCTCAGGCCCTGCCCCAGACCTATTGGATCAGGACCTTGGGTGCAGCCCAGTATTCTGTGTTTAAGGAACCATCCAGGTGATGCTGATGCACTCCATCTAGTCCTGGGTTAGGGAGAGAGCACGGAGTGACAAGAATCTGAGTCTGGGATTGAATGTTAAGAAGCTCTAACTTTTAAGGATTGGGAGGCGAAGGATGGCTTTGCCAAGGAGACTGTAGGAGCTGTGTTTGGAGAAGTAGAAGAAAAATCCAGGACGCCAGTGAATAGAGTATTCAAAGGAACGAGATACTTGTTGCCGACAAGCTCAGTAAAATGATGCTTGGGAAATGTTCCCTGTGCTTAGAAGAAGCAGATCCAGAGAGACAGAAAGTAGATATTGCTTGCCAGGGGTGGAGAGGGAGAGTGAGTGGTTAACTGTAAATGGGCACAGAGTTTCTTTTTCGGTGAACACAACTGTTTTGGAATTAGTGGTGATATGAATTGTGAATGTACCAAAAGCCACAGCATTGTGAATAAACTAAAAGAAGTCACTGAACTGTACACTTTAAAAAGGCTAAATTGGGAATTTTATCTCAATTAAAAACAAAGTCCCCCCGCCCCCGGGCTTAGCAATATGGAGATAATGGTGACTTCAGTGCGAAATGTTCATGGCACGGAGGAGGGTGGAAACAGAACAGAGGCTGTTAAGATAAGAGAGGAGAGAAAATGGAGGCGGGGAGAGAAGTGATCCTTCAGAGAAGTCTCATTTTATTTTTTATTTTTTTAAAAGATGTTATTTATTTAACACACAGAGAGAGAGAAAGAGAGAGAAGAGAGAGAGTACGGCAGGCAGAGGGAGAGGGAGAAGCAGGTTTCCTGCTGAGCAGGGAGCCCGATGCGGGGCTCGATCCCAGGACCCTGGGATCATGACCTGAGCGGAAGGCAGACACCCAATGACTGAGCCACCCAGGCGCCCCAGAAGTCTTGTTTTAAAGGGGAGGCCAAAAGGAGGGTGGTGGAGGGAAGATACCGAGTCAAGAAAGTTTGGGATGGGACCTGAAAATGTTTAAATTCTGTTGGAAAGGACCCAGGGGACAGATCTGGAGAAGAAAGTGATCATCAGTTGTGTTGAATAACGATACAGTTTCAGAGTTGGAGGGACTTCTGTGGTTAATGGTGTTTTCCTAACCTGGATCTCCATTTCATACAACAAAGTAGGCGAAAAATAATCCCGAAGCAATCCTCCAATTTAAACTTGAACATTGTGTGGGGCAGGAATCCTGCTGTCTTCCAGGGCCAACCATTCTATTTTCAGATGGTTTTGACTATACTGGGGGGGGGGGTGTTGAGGGAAATCAGCAGGGAAGAACTGACTGATCACAGGGGAGATAATGTTTCTTTTATAGAATAAAACCTCTCTGCTTCTTAAATGGACTTTAATCTTGTTTCAGTAATTTCCTTCATTCTCACTCCCCGAAGGACTCAGTGCTGCCAATTCCTGAAACTTTGGGAAAGTTTCTAGTATTAGTTGGGTTGATTCTCTGACTTTTTTACTGGTACCTTAATATTCAGTTTTCTTGGTTTTGTAATTTATCACCACTCATCTGTCTGATTTCCAGCTTTTGGATTTTTATTGGTATTTTCTCCTCTCTTTTTCTCCCTGAACTTGTTGGGTTCTATTTTTAAAAAACCTTTCAAAATTCTCTTTTTAGTGTAGTTTTGGTAGATACATGTGTCCAATCTGCCACCTCTACCTTCTCTCTCTCTCGTTTTTAAAGATTTTATTTATTTATTTATTAAAGATTTTATTTATTTGACAGAGAGAGACGCAGCAAGAGAGGGAACACAGGCAGCGGGGTGGGAGAGGGAGAAGCAGGCTTCCCGCGGAGCAGGGAGCCCAATGTGGGCTCAATCCCAGGACCCTGGGATCATGACCTGAGCCAAAGGCAGATGCCCAACGACTGCCACCCAGGTGCCCCATAAAGATTTTATTTATTTATTTGACAGAGAGAGAGAGAGAGAGAGCACAAGCAGGGGGAGTGGCAGGCAGAGGGAGAAGCAGACTCCCCACTGAACAGGGAGCCCAATGTGAGACTCCATCTCAGGACCCTGGGATCATGACCTGAGCCGAAGGCAGATGCTTAACTGACTGAGCCACCCAGGCGCCCCTCTACCTTTTCTTTTTCTCTCTCTTTTTTCTGCCAGAGAATATGTAACGTGTTTTTATATCCCTTCACTTTTATGGTTACTCTCCGTTGACTAAGTAGGAGGCGGGTTCCAGTAATAAGCCATTTCTCTTGCTTGGTATGGGGGCAGGTTTTGGGAACCTATTGTCTTCGTGCAGCCATCACGAGGATTAATCACCCTGAGTAATGGGTATAATCTCCTTTGGTGTGTCATCTCCTTTCCCCCATTCTGAGAATGTGACCTCATTTTATTGCATCCCTTATTATATTTGAAGTCATAAACTTCTCCCTGACTTTCCAGCCTGCTGTGACTGCTTTGTGTTCTGATTCTGTCCCCTGGCAGGTTTACCTGGCCCTCCTCTCTCCAGCCTGCAGATTTGACCATCAGGTCACCAGAGCTCTTTTCAGGCCCCGGGAAAAACTGTGGCTGGGGTAGGACAGGAGATGTCATGATCGTCTCACCAAACTTTGCAGACAGAAAGACCGGGTCTGGCTCTTTTCTGATGATTTATGCATGTGAATTTGTTTAGGTGACTCTAGGCGTGGGAAAATATACTTCAGAGAGTAAGGAGTACCTCCAATTCTTACAATTGTCTTACTCTTTTAAATAAAAAGAAGTGGTTTTTTTCCCCCCCTTTTCTTTATTAAAGCAGTCATTTTTAATCGAAGGCCTGTGGAGAAAGTACAGAGAGTTGCTGAATTTGGATGACTAGAAAAGCATCTTTGTTTTCACTAATCTTATAACTGATAAGATTACATTCAATTATAAATGTTGGAAATAAACTATAGTATTATTAGCAATACGTATGACTGTCACAATAAAAATTACAGATATTTTTATATCCCATTATAATTTTTGCATGAATCTTATATATTTCACATATCTTATTATTTATGTTCATGCCTTCTTCAAATTATAGTCATTATTAGATCTACTAGACCTTGTTTATATTAATAAAACAGTAAATAATTAAATATTATGGTATTATAAGTTTTTTATATTTTGATAATTTGACTGAATTAGCCTTCTGTTATTCATTTATATTTTATTTTATGCATTTAAAAACACTGTCTGAGAAAAGAGGTTCACAGGCTTCATCAGATTGCTAAGGGATTCATGACACACAAAAGATTCTGAACCTTTGTCCCAAAGAGACAAGTGCCTATAAAGGAATATGTGATTATTTATATAAACTACCATTTTATCTTGGATCCCCAGCTACACCTTTCTCTGGTTTAGTCCATTAAAATTTGCTTTTTAACATATGGTTTACGTCTTTACAAGGTATTTGGAAAAGGGTCTATTTTGGTTTTCAGTGACCCATGAGTTCAGAGGGCATTAAAAAAAGAAGTCTTGAAATCAGACTTAACTTATCAAGAATAACCCTTCCTATTTACATAGGTTAACTTTGAAGTTTCAGGACTTAAGCATTTCTGTTAAGTCGCTTTTCTAACTTACTGTTTTTGTATGAAGTTGTCAGGATGCTGAAACCCAGTAATGTTGAAGCTCCATTTTAATTCACGGTTTAGAGGCCATAGGTTCAAGTTACCTTGGATGGCTGTGATATAAAACTCAGTTTTATGTTAATTATATGTTAAAGCCCTTCAAGGTCATTTTCTCTCCAAGGAACATCATCATCTGGCACCTTCCCCACTGCTGCCCTCGGACCGCCTTTGTGTGGTGCATTTGACTTTGTCATTGGCAGGTGCCTGACAGCTCTGTTCCTTTGGGTCAGCAGTGGGGGCTGGGCAGAGAGACAGAGCCTTGAGGTCAAGTTTCTTGCCTTGGACACCTTGGAACATTGCTAGTGTTAAAGCTCCAGTGCCAGTTCTTGCTTACCTGACCTGAACTTGATACTTCAGTTTTATGTTGCCTAAAGCAAGTCTGCTAAGTTGCTCTAAAAACCTGAATAAAGTATGAAGTACTCAATTTTTGGTGCATAGATTCCCATTTCTTTTGATACAACACTTCATGGTGCATTACAAGCTCCCATTGATCCTGAGAGGAGATTGTTTGGAAGCATGACTGAGTTTTCCATAGTTTTTTTTTGGGGGGGGTTGGTGGGAGGGGTGGCATTTAATCCATGAAAATAACAGCTAGCTTTGTGTTGACCTGCCTACATTGTCCTCCTTACATTTTTATGCTTGTATTTACCATATTCCTGATAGGTGGTTGTTCCTCTGTCAGAATACTTTTAGTGACTGTGAATCTTTTACTTAATGAAACAGTCCAGTTCACTGTCAATAATATAAAGACGAGTCATAATATTTATTAGGTGCTTCCTATATGCTAGGCTCTTATATGAAGGACTTTACATTTATTAAATGCAATCTGACAACAATCCTAAGAATGGTAGATACCATCAGTAACATCGTTTCAGAGATGGGAAACCAAGAAGCAGAAGTGAAATAACTTGCTCAAGGCTCTAGCCAGTATGTGGCAGAGTTGGAATTTGAACAAAGGCAATCTGACTTCAGAGCTCAGGCTCTTAGATCTGCTTTTCTTCTTAATTCTGCCTGTTGGATTAAAGCAATTTCAGAAATGATTCATTTAAGCTGTAAGAGTAGTTAGCTAGTAGGATCTGATGTGTTACCTTAATTTACCACGTTGATAGCTGTGAAGCCAAACAAGCAGTCTTCAGTTGACTTTGGTATTTTATTATTTGAATATTCTGAATGTGCATTTTTAGCATTTTTTTTATGTGTGTTTATAGGGATGCTTCCTTTGGAAATTGCACTTACAATCTCACCATCCTCGACTGTTTGCAGGGAATCAGAAAGGTAATAATAATTCTCCTTGCTATAGTTGGCGCAGAAGTTTCAAAATATGAAAAAGGAATAATGTCAATATCCTTGTTTGCTTTGGAGAGAAGAGAAGGCAGGCAGTTAGCAGAAGGCTTTCCACTTCTTGATGGAATGATTGATCTGTAAAACATAGCCTGTCGAGCAAATTGAGGGGTGCCTGGGGGTAACTCTCTAGCTCCTTATTGAAGAAGAAGGGGTTTCCCTTTCTCATTTAAATGATTTCTCTTCCTGGGCAGAAGTATTGCTTCTATCTGCCTCTGTGCCTGTGACATTGCTTTGTCACAGGCTCAGCTTCCTTATCAAGCTCGAGCTTGGTGTGGGAGAGATAGGAGGCCACTCTGCACCTCTGTTCATGTGGAGGAGAACATTTCCATGTTGGTTTCCTACCTGGATATTATTACATGCCAGTAAAGAAGTAAGTGGGCCAGATACTATTATCTCATTGTTTTAGCTGAGGAAACAACCCCAGGGAGGTTAAGTCACTCTTAGGGCCACAGGGAGTTATTAGCAGGGCTCATTCTAACTCACATTTCCTTATCAATTTGGAGCTTTCTAATATCCTATCAGGGCGTCTTATAAATCAATGTTTTGTCAAAGTGTGGGGCTCGCTAGAGATGCAAATTCTCAGTCCTTCTCCGAGACTGACGGAACCATAAATTATGGGAGTGGGGCCGTGCAGTCTGTGTTTGAACAGCCCTTCTGGTGATTTGATGCACTTTACAGTTTGGAGGCATAGTTATTTAAGTTATTCATACGTATAATGGAGAAGTGAATCTAAAATATTTTTGAGAACTTTTAGAACTTGTTCTAGAAGCATTGATTTACTGAGAAGTCATGCATGCTATACTGTGAAATTTTTTTAAACAAAATTTTAAGAGATTTTATTTATTTATTTGAGAGAGAGAGAGAGAGAGCATGAGCAGGGGGAGCGTCAGAGGGAGAAGCAGACTTCCTGCTGAGTAGGGAGCCCCGTGTGGGGCTCCATCCCAGGACCCTGGGATCATGACCTCAGCTTAACTGACTGAGTCACCCAGGCACCCCTATACTGTAAAATTCTGATGAAGGTTCAAAGTACATCATTCCATCTTGAACATATAGCCATGATTTATAAGTCAGGAATGTACATATTGCATAGCCCATGGGCAAGGGTCCTTATGGATTATAGATACACTATGAGCGTGATTCTTGTTCTAGTTTCTTTCCTCTGATGTAATATAAGACTGATTTTGTTACATTTTGAGTTGAGAAAATTGGTATGATAAGTATGCTAGTTTTATGTATGTTTGTTTTTGACTTTGATATTTCATTTAAAAATGAATTTAAACTCTGTAAAAGTTTAAAATAGTTTCAAATATTTTTCTTTCCACTTAAAGACTGTCAAAATACTCTAGCTCACCCTGCAAGTAATGTCACCAACTCAGACTTCTAGTAACACAAATTAAGAACCCTTATGGAGAGATTATTCAATATATAATCCACAATTACAGCATTTAAGAAGTATGCCCAAGGGGAAAAAACAAGTAATTTATTATTGTTGTTGTTGTTGTTCCTATTTTGCCTGTTCTGCCATCTGGTACAGGCTATTTCTTTTATAAACGTGTGAAGTTCAGGAAGAGTTCACACTGGAAGATACCCGCCTGTTATGGTAGCCTGGTAACTGGATATAGAAATTTATGACATCCTTCCTGTTAGAGAGGAAAGGTGTGACTTTGTTCATGGATAAGTTCTTCTGTAAATTTCTTGTTTCATCAAGTGCCGGGGTTTATTTTACCCAAACGCAGATGAGATTTTAGAAGATCTGACAGATGTTCAACATGTCTTTAAGCAACTGAGGCACATTACCTCACTCCACACTTAAATAAACCCCCATATCCTGGGCAATTGCCATGGCAATGAGTACCATACTCCTAAGAGTGTAGACAGAGGATGGCTGCATTTTTGCCTCTTTAGGAAGCATGTCTTTCTGATTTTGTTGTATTGGCATCATCATAAGCATAGTTTACATGGGTGTGAACTACACACAGAAACATACGTAAATACACATTTTAAATGAAGAGAAAGGAAGGAAGTTTGAAGGCCCGGGTATATTTTTCTCACTTCTTTCACTGGAATGGTGCATATGGACCCACTAAGTTGCTTTGTTTAAAGGTGAGATAATTTAAATAACTTGCTTTGCTTCTAATAGTAGGCATGGACTAACCCATTGTTGTCAGGATTTATCATTTATAAGAATCACCTAGAAGGCGTGTTAACATGCTGATCCTAACCCCAGAGAATCACATTTAATAGTTCTGGGATTTAGGGGTTTAGGACTGAATTTTAAATCTAAATTGCTGCAAGTGCTTCTGTTGCAGGTGATCTGTATTCTGCATTTTAGAAAACGTTGGTCTCTTAATGTATTTTTGAAGATAGATGTACTGGAGCTTGGCTTCATAGTTTCTTCTATTTTTAATGACTTGAATATGTAACTTTTAAAAGTAATGGTAGTTTTGTATTCTATTATAATCTGTACAGCTTCATGACTTATAAAATAAAAGACTGTCCGCTTCAAAATATTATATCTGAGCAAGCTGGATAGTTTTTAAAAGTTCTAAGTCATTAGTTATAAAAAGGAGTAATGAATGTTCTCTTTGTGTTGTTAAAAATATCAGCTCTTCCTCTAAATTGTAAGAGCAGTCAAGTACACTTTTACTCTGTCAGTAACCATGACCATAAAACAGATGCTCTCAAGAGTTTTAGGAATAAATAAGGGCCTATGAAGTAAAAATGCCCTTTTTGCTAAGTATCTCATTAATGATAAAAGGAAAACAAAACCTCCCAAGAATATTGTTCTCCTATCTGAAAAGATAATCACTATTATAAATCCTATCATAGTTTGATATGAATTAATTGCATAGTTCGCAATAGGTTTTATTTTTTTTAAAGATTTTTATTTATTTATTTGAGAGAGCAAGAATGAGAGAGAGAGAGAGAGCACCTGAGAGGGGGGAGGGTCGGAGGGAGAAGCAGACCCCCCGCTGAGCGGGGAGCCCGATGCGGGACTTGATCCCGGGACTCCAGGATCATGACCTGAGCCGAAGGCAGTCGCTTAACCGACTAAGCCACCCAGGCACCCCCCAGTAGGTTTTAATTCTACATTTGCTAGTATGTTCCTATATATATATATATATATAATTAATTTATTACATATAAAACTAATGTAAATTAGGACTCTAGATATATTTTGTGGAACATATTTTCATGCTTTTCTAAATGTTAAGTCCCACTTGTGAGAAAGTCTCAATGCAAAATTACCAATGTTAGAAGATGATATCTAGATAAAAGGTTTCAAGCTTTTTCCTTCAGGTTAGTGAGAATCATTTGTGAGCAGGAATTCTAGGAATGGCTAGAGGAGTTATCAATTTGGTATGGAAAAACTAATTCAAATTCTGCTTCTAGGGATTACAACATGGATTTTTTGACTTTGAGACATTTGATGTGGATGAATATGAACATTATGAGGTTTGTACATTTTAATTTTTTACAAGATATAATTTCATGTTAATTAAAAACCCCTGCCCCCCATTCTGCCCTCTGCCCCCCAACACTCAGGTATTGCAAATTGAGTGGCTGCTAAAATAAAAACATTCTGGAGTTTTCTATAGTTGTCACTTTTGTCCTTTCCGCTTTGGTTATTGCCTTTGAACCAGGAATCACCAAAATTTTAGTTTGGGAAAATGTCATATCTATAATGTTCTTTCACCAAACCTCTGTTAACAGTTACTGTGCACATTTAGCTTATAAGAAAAAATAATTTCGAAGTATAGTTTGATAGTGAAACTGAGTTTCTGCTATTTTAAAAATTCAGGTTCTGTTTAAAACAAAACTGGACTTGTGCCTTGTAATATTTTTGACTGCCTAAATTTGATTTTGAAATGTGGCTGAATTTACCTAGTTGTACGAGTTGGCTGAATTTTTTCCCCATAACATCATGAAGCTTTCGAATAATGTCTTGCCTGTTCAGTGATGCAGAGTTTAGGGAAGGGCTGTCCCAGCTAGGTTGTGGTATAAGAAGACACTGAAGAAGCAGTTAGCTTTTCTGGAAGATGAGAAGCTTGTAGAATGTGAGTAGGCCCAACATTCTATGAAAGGGAGCTCATCTGTTGGGGTTCTTCAGAGGACTTGTGAAATGTATCACTACCCTTAGTAAGAGAGGGCAGCCCTCCCCCTTTGGCTCTAGTTCAGGATGTCTGTTTGGATATTCTGCTTACATGTTAAACTTAACATGTCTGAAAAGAAACTGACGATCCTTCACTCAAACATGGTCTTCTGCTTCATTCATCTGTATTAATGGCACCACCATCCTGCAGTTTACCCAGGCCCAAGAACAGAAATGCTTCTGTTTCCCTCCCTAATCTAACCAGTATTTGAATTTTTGGGCTGTGTTTCATCTTTCCTGTCCTTTCTGTTCTCACTTCCTTCCCTCTGGCTCAGGTGTCGTGCCTTCTCTTGTGGACTATTAGAAGCACTCTCTAACGAGCGCTGGCCCTTCTTCTCCTGCTGGTCTGTCTTTCACCCACGTGACAGAGTGATCTTAGAACAGAACTCTCATCATTCTTGGCCCCAAACTGCATTGCCCTGCAGAAATGGGGACAAACTCCTCTGTCCTGGCATTCTTAGTGTGGTTGGGCTCCAGCCCACCTTGCTAGCCTTGTCTTCTGTTTGCTCACCATGCACCCTCTGCATGCCAACCCCATTGAGCTTTGTGTTCACTGTTTCCTGAATGTCCCCATGTCCTGGCTGAGCTTCCTTTCTGCCAGATACCTGTCCCCTTTAACGTTTCCCCTCCTCCATTTTGTGTAGGTCATATCTACACAGATCATTACTCTCTTGAGTATTTTCTCCCTTCAATTTCATGTGTTACAATTTGTACTTTCCATGTTTCCTGTATCTTTGTTTTATTTTTCTTACTGGATTGCAAATTCCTTGTGGTTAGGACATGACTAAGTGAAAAAATTTATACTGAGTACTTGGATAGAAAGGTTTAACATCATAAAACTGCTATTTCTCTTCAAATTAATAAATTTAGTACAATTAAAAATCTTGAGTATTCCTTTTTTTTTTAAACCATAAAAACATTGTTCAACATGGCATTTTTAGTAGTGGCAAAAGAATCTACCCCCTCAAACCCCCCCCCCCCCCCCAATTAGAAACAGAGACTGTGCACTCGTAAGGGAAGGTTGAATAAGCTATAGTACACACATACCATGGAATGTTATGTGGTCATGTGAAAAGGTGAATTTGAGCTATACCACTTGTCTTGGAATGATTTCCATAATATGTCGTTTAGAAGAAAAGATACAGACAAGTGCTCATAATATAATCCCCTCCTTTAATTAACAATAATGAGATCCCATTTCACTCATACATGTATATCTGTATTATATGAGCAGAACTGATTTCCTGTGAAGCTAATAAAGCTTAAATTTTAGAGACCCCCACTTTCATAGGCACTTTTTAAGGTCCTATACCTAATTTTGTCTTCATAATTTTGTATTCTTTTCTTAAAGTGGGCTTCCAAATTAGATAAGTTTCATGTTCCATGTATATGAATATGGAAAAAATCATGTGGCAAAATGCTAACGCCATTTCCATTAAAGGAGATATTGGAGAGGGGACTCAAGAGGAGGAGGAAGGAACAAGTACCATAATAAAGAGAAAAAATTAGTTGACATTTTACTTATTCCTTCATCTTTTTTTTAAAACTTGATTTTATTTATTTATTTGACAGAGAGAGACACAGCGAGAGAGGGAACACAAGCAGGGGGAGTGGGAGAGGGAGAAACAGGTTTCCCGCCGAGCAGGGAGCCTGATGCGGGGCTCAGTCCCAGGACCCTGGGATCATGACCTGAGCCGAAGGCAGACGCTTAACGACTGAGCCACCCAGGTGCCCCTTTATTTTAAAAAATTTAATGTTGATGTTGAGAGGTAGTTGGAAAAGCTGTTGAAAAACCTGAGACAGTACAGTCTCATTCTTGCAAACCAGCCAACTGGCCAACCAAAAAAATCTGTTAAGAATGTAGTCATATCCTCACCTGAATAAACAACAACAATAACAACAACAACCCAAGTAATAATGGGAGGCAGGAGGCAGTTGGCGAACATTTGAAAAGTTTTCTATCATATTACTTCCTTTCTGAGATTGATACATCTATTCTATCATAAAGACCAGGAAAAGAAAATCACAAAGAGAACTATACTTTTTGGGGAGTGAGCATTTCATAAATGCTACTTAATGAATAAATAAAGGAACTCTCTTCCCGACAATCTGTGGGCCTGATCCTCTCTTGTCATGATTTCTCTCACTGTTCTCTTATGGGCTTTAGCGAGTTTGGACATTGGGTGAACTTGTGAGATAGCTAGATACACATATTTCGTGTGTTCCAACAAAGTCAGTATTCCAATGAACACATTGTGGTTTTCAAAGTAAGATTTTATCATTGGCAACAAATTAGAAGACTGTAAGTCTTGATTATGGGGGATGTTCAGGATGAAGCTTTTCAAAGGCACTTCTTGACTGAACTACATTTAATATATAATTTGGCTCAAGAAAAAGCCTAAATTAATGAGACTGCATCTCTGTGTGAGATTGAAGGGCAGTTTTATGGTAAGAATGCCAAATGTTAATGACAAGGTCAGCAGAACACGGGAAATACTCATTTTATAAAGTCTGCAGGTAAACCTTTGCTCATTCTGCAAAGGGTTATATCCATTCTCCTCCTGCGATTCATGGGTCTAGAGCAGTACTGTCCAATAGAAATATGAGAATTATAGATATTATAAACATTCTAGTAGCCACATTTAGAAAAAGTAAAAAGAAATGATGAAATTAATTGTAATATATTTTATTTAATCCAATATACCTAAAGTATCATTTCAACATATAATCAATATAAAAATTATTAATGAAGTATTTTACATTTTTATTTTTGAACTAAGCCTTCAAATCTCAGCATGTCGTTTGCTCTATGGCACATCTCAGTTTGGACTAGTCACATGTTTTTTTAAAGTAGGCTCCACACCCAGCAAGGAGCCCAATGTGGGGCTTGAACTCATGACCCTGAAATCAAGACATGAGCTGAGATCAATAGTTAAAAGCTTAACCGACTGAGCCACCAGGTGCCCCTGGACTAGGCACATTTCAAGTGCTCAGTAGCTGCATGTAGCTGGAGGTAGATTCTGTAGGGACAGCCTTGGCCATGATCTGTTGGGTTCCCTCAGAATGACATGGGATTAGCAGAACAAGTTATGTGACCTTGCTTCAGATGATCTAATTATTCACATAAGAGTTAAAACCATGTCATATTTAGAAGGCTTGGGGTAAGATATCTCAGGCTCTTGCTTTATTTTCATGGGACTTGCAAAATGGCCCATTAATTATTGATGAGAAGTATCTTCCAAAATGTGGTCTCTCAGGTCCTTTACCAAGTTGTTGAACTGTGCATTTTTCACATTGGTGCTGATAAACAGATGTAATTCTGGCAGCTATGCCATGGAGGTCCCATAAAGTAACTGCAAGAAGGTGGTCCCAAAACTTCTAAGAATCAGTGTCCAAACATTCATACTTTTCCCACAGGTTTCTCAAGATACTTTCAAAGAACTGAGAGAGCAGCCACCCCTTTGAAATGTAGCCATTCGTGGGTTCACTTGAAAAGTGGAAATAGACCTTTTGCCCTTGGGAACAGCAGTGAAGATGAAAGAGCTTGAGTAATCAAATTATGTTCCTGTGGGTATGTGAGGCTACGGCTCACATACTGTATCCTCACAAACCTCTATATGGTTACTGCTCATGTATGATAATATTCTGCTTGTGAGACCCCGAAGTAACACCCATACACAGAGTCTGCTTTCAGTCAGCCTTTTTTAAATTCTTTTTTTGGGGAACCATCCTTACCAAATAAGGCCTTGCGGAAAATGAATGGTGCTGCTCTTAGGCATTATTTTAAGTCATTATTCCTCAGAGAGAACTTGAAGTTGTGTCTTACATTTGTTATTTGGATGTCTCTGAGGGGCTTTCTACTGTTTACCGGAAGGCAGCCATTTTGATGATGTCTCTTTGTTGGCCACACACAGATAAACGCCCAGAGCAGCATCCTGTCTCCAGGAGAGGGAAGGGGGAGAGAAGGGCAAAGAAACAGGCTTCAGGGGCAGCATGTGGAGATGCCTCATGGCCGTGGCAGGCATTTATTATCCCATCCAGAATTCGGCCCATGCAATGGCTAGGAGTTGCCTTAAACACCTTTTTGGGGATTAGATGGAGCTTCAGGTTTATGTAAAGCCTACTTCAAAAATGAAGAAATTACTTTGACTTCATTCTTGGAGTTATTTTATATCTTCCACTATCTTTTTTTTCCCTCCATGAATTATTCCTTTTTGAGAAAAAAAAAAGTGCTTTCAGTGAAGTAGCATTGTCAGTGTGAGGATAGTTCCCAGAATTATTGACTTGACACTTTGCTTTCACA